TCAAGTATTGTGCAAAAACGCATGATCGCACCGGCTCGCCTGGTGCGTTTCAGCCTGGGTTTTTTTAATGTTAGTAAACGTGAAAATGTGCTGTGCGCCTTTAGATAATCTTCAGCAGCCCCATTAAGCGGACTTTTTTTACCACATCAAATTACCGTGTCGTTTTTGGTCTGTCAAGAACTCCCTGCGGTGCGGAATGTTCACACAGAAGCACGAAACTGTCAAAAAGAGTAGCAGCTATACAGGCCACATGCCTGCACATAAGCTGTCGGCAAGCCAATGCCAAGCAGGAGATGCGACTGATGATGAAATGGGTCTCGAATCTTTCTTGACCCGGTCGTCTGCGAAGCAGGTAAAGTCGAAAGTCTGGCCATCAAAAGCAAGTTAAAACTGCCTTGCATATTCGCTTTCTTTAAGAGGCCGAGACAGCCGGAATTACCCGGGGAGTAGCCGCGGCTGACAAGACTATCGGTGACTCTTCCCCGGTGGAGTTGCTAGGAAGCACACTGATGGCTGGGAGGTAGAAGAGGTGGAAGTAGTGACAGAAGGATCGCTTCTTTACGCAAGATTCCAGCACTATTCTCGGTCCACTAGAAGCATATGGCAAAGCATGTGGTATCGCAATGAATCAATCACTCAAGTAATCATAACGGAACATTCGCATCCATTTTTTCAGTAATAACTGCAAAGCGTGAATATCCAGATTATTCGCGTCTGGATTAGGACTATATCCGTTAATGAGCAAATATGGCACCTCTGTTATTCGATTTGGTTTTGCGGACTTTGTACGGTAAAATGCCTTCCGTTGCAACTGTACACCACGTTCTGTTTCGTAGCATCGCCTGAATAAAAACATCTCAGGATACTGTATTACCAAACGTTTGGTAATGAGCGGTGGATGGATGACTAATTTTTTTATCATTTCTCCAACGACTTTTATTTCTTCACTTCTCAGAATTGTTGGGCAAAGCGGAGTATCCAAAAGCGCGCGGATTCGACAAAGAGTTTCGTAAAGGTCGATGCCCTGTGATCATGCTTGATTTATGCGCTAAAATCCTGAATATAATTGTGAGTGATCAGAGATTGATTCATTCTTTGTTTCTTAACTTTCTCGATTGGTTCGTCGGTAGCAATAAACCTCAGTTATGTCCTCAGCCTCGTCAGGGTGCGATTTGCCAGTGCCAGGCAAGGCTCGCCCAACAGAACCCCAAAACTCTTCCGAAATTTCTAAGTTCACCGAGATCGCCGAATGCACCTTATCTGGAGCTTCCGCATAATTCAGCCCAAGTCTGAAGGGGCTGATGAAAATCCTAGCGTTATCTACAAATGCCTTAAAAGCATCATCTAGCAGTACGAAGTATTGGATTTTCGGCAAGCACTGACAGGGAGCATAAATTACTGCATCGGGATCACCGATAAATAGGCTAAGCATCATATTAGCACTGGAAAAAACAAGCACCAGACATGTAGCATGTAGCGCTGGTTGCTTAGCTGGAATTAAGCTACCGAGTGCATTTGGTTCAGGCATACATGTCACCGGGGATTATTGCACTACTGTAGAAGCTTCACCATATGAGCCCGAAATTTCTTAGAAATAGTCGCTTTTCACTGTAAGTCTGTTATTTATATTTGCATAAACTGGACTTCAAGTTAAAGCGATATGAGGCCATTTGGAGCAGCCGAATAATTTTTAGCGAAGTAGTACCGCCACGGAACAGAACTGGAGATTTCTAAACATATAACACAGGGCGCCAGAGAAAACTAACGAACGAGAAGGAGGACACACCTGATGCGTCGATAGTGATTGCGGATGAAACCGGAGCAGTAATCGAATGCTGATTCCACATCCTCATCGAGCAAAGCTCGTTCAAAGCAAATAATAAATGCTAAGGCATGCTTCATCTTTGCGTGCTCCAGAACACAGCCTTGCAGCCTGTTGGCATCACATTCCACAACACCATGATTACATTTTATCGTACCATCCTGAAATCATGATTATTGTTATATTACTATCATTTTCATTACGATCAGTATCATCATCACTATTATTATTGCCACTGTCATTATTAAACAA